GGGGGGGGGGGGGTGGTATCTTGGGCGATGACGCTGCTCGAGGTGAAACATGGGTCGGGTGTTGGTCCCACGGTGAACCTTCTACCGCTGTATGAGGCTTGCATGGATGGATACTGACTTCACCATGATGCCACGAAATGAAAGCATCGACCGTCAGGAGCTTGCGGGGGCAAGGCGGCGGTTGAATTTTCACGATTCTGGTGACATCAGTACAACTTCGTGAGTTCAACATGCTGCGGGCTTCCGCATTCAGCCGGCAGCCCCGAACTCCTTTCCCATCTCATGAACTGGTCCAACGAGATAGCTGACACGAAATGCATTGAGGTTCAGCTCAACTCGCATCCGTTGGCCATTTTGCCGCCAGCATATTGTGCGTCTGATGACATCAACATGGGCGATGTGTCCCAAAATCAATACATCACGCGATGGAGAGCTTCAGGCAGCGGAGAAAAACACGAGACACCAACTTCTCTCCCCCCCGCAGGGAGTGTATAGCGGGATCAGAGTTCAGCTAGGAACTACCAGGGTATAACTCGAGTGTTTTCCCGGAGTAAAGCTGATGTTCTCACCGGACCTGCAGCGCGTGGAGCCAAAGTGACGGAAGCTGGCTGCGCCGATATGCGGTACAATCTACCATGGAGAAGACAGAAAAAGGTACTTGGCATCCCCCCAAAGGAGGGTACACAATTGTACTTGTTCGCTTGTCCAGCACGCTCAGGCACCCGGAGCTACAGCGGTAGTACATCCGTCACTTCAGCGGCTGCCCACACAGGACATGAGGCACGACACAATGGCGGCCGTGTACTTCGTGCGCTACGTGGCAGGCAAGGGCTCCAACGCCAAGGACGCTGACGGACTGCCAGCAGGCCAGGGCTGCGGCTTGGCCATGCGAAAGCTGTGTGCGGCTGATGGAGGTGGTGCGGCCAAGAGCTTGCTGTTGCCAGGAGCGAGCCCGGAGCACCGGGCAGAGGTATGTGCAGGAGCCGTTGCCATATGGCTTGCTGCGGTCTCTGCGTGGTGTCTGCGTGCGTGATGCTCCACAGCTTCAGTCACCATGCGCATCGGTTTGAATTCCTGGGATTTGACTTGGGAGAATACCGTCAGGTTGCGGAAGATACTACACGCCGTGGAGCGATGTGGCAAGCTCGATTGCTCTTGCAGCGAGAGCGGCGGCGCCGAAGATGGTGGCGTGCGGCTCGCCTCGTCAGAAGCTCTCCGGAACCGCTTGGTTTTATTTTGGCATCCTCGTGGCTTTTCCAATCCGGAGAGGATTGGTTTCAGCCACGGAAAAAAGAAAACCCAAAACGAAACGATAATCGTCGAAGTATTGATGACGGCGGCAGTAGCCCCCCCTTACTTCGTGGTGAGACGTGCGCTACAATTTTGTGGCGACTATTACAACGATCCAGGGTCACACGGGAGGGGGGAAACACCGAGGCTCTTCTCGTTCATTTTTATTTTCGTCCCCAACTTGTCTCCTGCGGTGCGTGCTGAATTTTGTTTTTTATCCCGAGCAGAGTCCAGCCGCCCCGTTCCCTCGTCAACAGCAGTGCTAAGGTCGAAGGTTGGTACTCACGAGCTTTTCAGCTTTCGTGTTCACCCGCCAATTCGTAAATTTTTCACCCCACGGGGATCCGGACTCACGACGTTCCCACTATAGTTGTAGCGGTTTCGAGGTTACCACCAGAACGCGATATTTTGACCGGTCGATTTCTCTCAGGCTGAGTCTTAGGCCGTTTCTTTCGGTTTGAAAAATTCCAGTTGAAATATTGAAAGTTTCAATTCCCAGCCGAACAGAGCTTCTTACGGTTCGAAAAATCGATCTTTTTGAGAAATANGGGGGGGGGGGGTGCATCACACAGACCCCCGACCACACCAGCTTTGGTCGCTGGAAGCACCCGACAGTGCACAACAGCGCACCACAAAGCAGCACAGCACAGCACAGCACAGCGCGTGACAGCCTAGCACAGCGCCTCACACGCGCTGACCCGGTGCTTAGTTGTCAGCGCGGTGCGCCCGATATGGGGACCGGCGACGATCTGTTGGAAGCAACAGTGCTGTCAGTCGCGTTGGCGGCTTTGCACCAGATCCAAGAGGAGGATGGTCGCCGGCGCACAGCACGCTCGGTATCCTATTGGTTGGGATGCTGTGCCGTTCGCGCGCTTGATCACGGAGCACGCGTACCAGATGGCCGCGTTCTGAAGGATGTTCACGTTTTTGGCTGTCGCCTTGTCGCAACCGAGTATCGACCGCAGCAGCGCATCGGATTAGTTGTTCGCGCCTTGCAGCAGCAGTGGTTCCACTAGCGGCATGGTGTTGCGTCGTCTGGCGGGGGTGTAATTCTGAGCCCCCCCCCCCCTGTTTTTAGCGTTTCCAATTCCGTCGATCCGTAAGAAGGTTGCTTTATTTTTGAGTGAGATTTTCCGAGTTGGATCTGGGAATTGAAAAATCAATGTTTCAACTGGAACTTTTCAAACCGTAAGAAACCGCCTTACGGTTTGATTTTTCCCGGATTGGATTTGGAGGGGGGTGTCCTTTTTTGAGCCCAAAAAATTATTTGGGCATCTTCGGGCGAATATTAACGAAGAGCCAAAAACCAAAATCCAAATGAACACAAAATCAAAACCAAAATGCGTCATCGTGGAAAAAATAAAAAAGCGTGGACCATGTTAATGAGGATAGGAGACAGATGAGGCAAGCAATCAAGAAGACCTGGCGCCAGGGGAAGAGCCTGCAGCGAGGCGGTGATTTTGCTAGGGTGGGTTTTGCGCTCTTCTGTTCACGTGTTAGCCGATATCTCGCCAAATACTTGACGAGTTGCCTCAAGAACGATATCCGGAAGGAGCTGGTAACATGGGCTGTTGGACAATGCTAGGGTTTGGCGCCATGAGGTGCCCAATGCGCCGGAAAAAAAAGGTTGTGTTGAAGCGAAAATGCCAACGGTTGCGAGCGGTCACTTCAAGTTCGGTGTTTGGGGCCATCACAGGTTTGGTTATCCACCGATAACTTTCCGAAGGACCAAGCAACAGCAACAGCAACGCCACGCGGCGGGACGTAACTCTCTGCTCCATCTTTCAAGCCCAAGGTCTGCTACCCTGGGGTATCGTGCGTATAGGGAAAACGTTTTGGTTGACCCTAAAATATCCACGTCAGAGAGCGGTTAGTTCAAGTTCGCGCCGAATGTCTGCCACAGTTTAGTTTTTCAGCGACAACTCTTCGAAGGAGGAAGCAACAGCATTAGCAATGCCACGCGACGGGAGGTAGCTCTTCCCACCATCTTTCTCGTACAAGGTTAGATGCCTTGGGGTATCGTGAGTGTGGAGAAAAAAGGTTGAACTACCCTCCCCCGCACGGAACAATCCGAAAAAGCCGCACAGCCCTGTTCTGATCGTCAGTCCGTTCACCGCTTGTCACGATCAGCGTGTTCACCTCGAAAACCCAACGAGCCGGCCCGGATATTGGCTTGCCGGCGAGCTACAAATCATGGCCATGGTCTCGGTGGTAGGGTGCCGATAACCCCCCTATGAGCAGTGTACAGCAGGTCGTGTCGTACACGTGCTTTGCAGCGGCCTCGCGGCAGGTGCTCCAAGCCTTCGAAGTCTTGAACTCCTTGCCTCGTTGATTTTTTACTTTGAATATCAAAGGCCGTCGTCAGGAGGTATGAGAATATCGACCAATCCTAGCTCGATTTTGATTTTGATTTTTTTTTTTTTTATTCTTAGCGCGTCGTTAACGGGGTTACGGTAAGGAAAATGGCAAATCAAAATTTAACAGCCCAAACGTTTCCTGGGATTCCGGTCGGCCTGTTAGAAAATTGAAAGTTGGCCCATTTTCCAACAGCGATCGGGTTGGACGCTATGATGAATGGAGGGGGTCACCCCCTGGTCATTTCCCGATCGTGCCAAAACGAGGAACTACACGTCTGCTGGCCAAACAGAGGCCAGTATCATGAGGTCATGCACAAACCTCTGCAGGTTTATAAAATTCAGGGCGTAATGCGTCGTGTTGGGTGCACTCGAGCCGAAAACGTCAACCCTGCCGCATTGCTCTGCTGACGTTCTTGCCTTTCGGCCGGAAAGAGCCGTTCTTGCGCCTGCTGCATGTGTGACCAGTTGAAAACGCACCCCAGAGAGAGGCCTTTGGCCACAAACTGCAGCCGATAGCGTGCGATGATACACATGCCCTCTGCCGGCGACCCAAGAACAGGGCGCTGGGTGTCTTCTTGGTCGCCACGAGCCAAAACCGTGAACGGAAGCATGTTGTGACCCACAAGAACTTGAGTCAGCCTCTTTTTGCCTTTCACAAAAAATTATTCCCCGAGGAACCGTAAGACGGTCGTTTGGATCTAGATTTTTTCCGTGCGGGCCATCCGCCCCCGATCGAGCGGAAAAAAATCTCCGAAGTATTCAAGCCGTAAGCCTCAGCCTCAGCTGGCGAAAGCTGCGACCACGAAATCGCGGCGGTGCCCTCTCGCGACCTATGCCTGGAAGCCGTTTCCAAGAAATATCAATCGAAGCGACACCGGTGCCAAACGGGAGCATTTACCTCCTCCTCACAGGCGCCGCGCGCCTGGAGCTCAAATGCACGCATTTTTTTGCCACGAAGCTCTCCACAACCGAGCAAGATACAGCCCTACGCTAGCCACGGTTAGATGCGCTAGGACGGAATAGGGATGCCCCGCGAGTCTCGGCAACGCTGGCGGCGAGCAAAGCGAGCACGCTTGCAAATATGTTTGGCAAATTATTCTGCAATTCTGCCGATTGTCTGGCGCAACTATATTTTCTCCACACGGACAACTCCCCAGCCCGCTCCCACCCAACTTTGAGAGTCAACAAGGACCCAGTGGACACAATTGTGTGCCACGTTTCAAAGCCATCCGATCTGCACGCCGCGTGCGACAGCACACGTCGCCTCCCAGCGGCCGACGTCATCCGCCAGCAACACTCAGACTTGATCAGACCGCAATTTCTCAACCCATACATACGAACCCCCCTTGACACAAATCTTTAATCGATGTGGAGCTAGAATTCTAGACACTGTTGAATGTTCATGTCTTTGGTGCATCTCCCTAATCGGATCACGACCTACAAGCAAAGTTTGTGCTAGGGGTAGACGCGAACTGCAACGCATGGACCATGGGTGTGTGAATATCCCGACACGCGCCCCCTCAAGCGGCTGTCGCTGGGGTTGCTGCTTGCCCCTTGTGCGCAACTCCTTTGCGAAACGCTGCAATGGGCATTTCGGCATCATTTGGCTGTCAATTATCGATGTATGCAGCGCCCGGAAACGAGCATCGAAAGGGCTACGTGCGCGTCCCTTTACATTGAGCTCTTGACGCTTGTGAGCGACGAAGCGATATGCGCCAGGCTGCATCACTTCCACCTCGATTTTTTTTGTCTGTTTTGGTCTTTCCACCGCATCTCCTGCACCGAAGAGGAATGTCATGTCCACCTAACCAGCGTTACACAAGCAATCATCTTGCCATACAGCAGTCCCTTCTGCAGCTAATATGTGCATGCGGTCGTGTCGGCCGTGCTTGATACAGCTCTAGCGTAACCTGTTATGGCACACTCCTGTTTTTTTTTGTGTCGTGT